TAGCAAAATGCAAAAGCCTTGATGTGCTTGAAGTGCTTAAAGTGCCTAATTTTGATAACTTCCCATAGCAGAAGCGCAAGCTGGTGGAGATTGAAGGGAATTGGCGGAGCAGAGAGGCGGGAGGGTGGGTACCAGCATTGCTGGGGAGAGCAGGTCGCTGATGCTCAGCGTCCCGGTTTGCTGTCGCCCAACTCTGTCCCGCTGCTGCTCAGGCTCTTTGGGGCTGGTTTGGGCCGTTCCTCTGCCAGGCTGACTGCAGCAAGCAGCTGGCAGCGGATAAAGTAGAAAAAGACGTTCATGACATTAATGAAAGCTTTGACAAAAAGGAGGCGAGGGAAACTATTGTCTCCTCGGCCTTATTCTCATAATGTCTGCGTGTAATAAGTCTTTCGGTTATGCTTGTGGCTTCTGTGACAAAACAGTGATTTAGGGGGCTGTCTTTACACAGGCAGAGCTGCTCACATGGGCCAAAGTGCTGGTGAGTAATATTTTACCACAAATTGTTGTAACTGGAGCTTGACAACTGCAGTAGGAAGGAGGGTGGGGGTTTGCATTTGGTTTATTAGATGACTTACTGCAATTTGCAAGAGCGAGCTTTATGCTAGCACAGCCACCAATTTGCAAATCCTGCAAGTAAAAGTCCGTGTGAATGAAACCGGGGAGGGAAAAACTCTGTGTTTTGCTGCCAGGATCCGCAGAAATTGCCTGTATCGGGCGGAGGCACGGATGCATCGTGGCTGCAGACCGGCTTCTCCAACCGACGGCATCTTGGGATGCCCGGGAGCCTTTCCCGTGCGTCCCTGGTGCAGCATCCCAGTGGGAACCGGGGGTCCTGTCTTTTGGTGTGGACATCGAGTATAAAATAATTCCTCTGGGCAGCAGTGCTTTCTCTCTCGGCTTTCCAACCAAGCCAGGAGTTAAAGGGATGTTTTCCTAAACCCAACCGGTGAAGCATCTTTAAGATGAGCTTTGAAGAGGGAGGAAGGAAGGCTGCTGCTTGGGCTTGCATCACTGTGAAAATTCAGGTCATGTTTACTACGGGCAGCTGGAAAATGATGATCTCAGATGCTAACAAGTAACATCTGAAGGGAAGCATTAAAACATTCGAGCTGTTTTGTAAGCGCCTACTTTACTTTTATCCCAAACCAATTTAGCTTTTTTTAAAGATTCATTTGTCCCCTTAAGTACCTGATGTCGGCTTATCTAAAATAAGTGAAAAAGTACAAGAGGTTGCCCTTCCTTTTAATTTCAAATGGAAAAATTGTTTTGTCTTTTTTTTTTTTTTTTTTAAAAAAAGACCCCAAAACAACAAACAAACTCACTGTACAGCTTCCTTTCTGCTGCAGAAGGGATAGATACCTACAGTCCAAGGGCTTTTTGTCCTGCTGCAAGCTGACCTTGTGTAATTTCCTTTATTTACATTTGCCTGGCACTGGCCTCATTGACTACAAGAGTTTATACAACCACTTTTGGGAGGAATACTGAGGCTTGCAGAAGCGAGTTCTGCCCCATGTTGTCCTCTTTCTTACTGGTACAAAGTAGATATACAATGCTATTGAATAAAAATAAGTATTCTTATCCTGTTTTGTTCTGGCCTTAATGCCTTTGTACCAGGATAACAGAGGAGGTCGTGGGCAATTAATTTTAAACCAGGTGGGAAAAATTACTCAGAATTGTTTCTGTGCAGGGAGACATCCGATGGTGTTACGGTTTTATGTGCCTTTCTTTATGTGAACAGTCTCCAGCCTTTGCAATGCTTGCCTTTTTTTTGGGGGAGGGCGGGGGGGGACGGGACAGAGGGGGAGGCGTTTTCAACGAGGCTGTTGCAAATAATGTTTGGTCACCGCTGTAATTAAGCCAGAGTCAAATTTGGAGACAGATTAGCTGCCCGGGACTTTGGTATTTGCATTAAGGCCGTTCTGCTTGCGTGTGTGATCACCTCTGTTCTAGGACTTTTGCAACCAGAATGAAAACAAATTGCCCTTAATACGTATCAGTGGCGTGATGATTCCTTCAACAAGTAACTCATTTGCAAATCTAATACATGCATCGATATTTGGAATTAAGTGGCATGGCAGCATTACTGTTATTTGGAATTAAGCGGCATGGCAGTGTTACTCCTTGTAGGGTTTGGTGATGCTAGGGGAAGGGTGTATCATCTCAGCTGGTATGGGGGAAAAAAAAAGGTTTGAGGGAGAAAAAATTGCCCTTTAGTGTGACTCTCCTGCTATTTAGTAGCTTGATTTCTGATACATGAGCCGCCTAGCCTGGCATGGAGAAAGTATTCTGCAATTCAGATGCTAAAATGATGACATGATTGCATGCTTCTTGAAGACACGAGGGTGATGTTCCTAAGTGCCACCAATTCAGTTACCACTCAGAAGAAAAGGCTCCTTCTAATCAAGCCTCCCCAGGTAAGGGTTTACAAGAGTACCCTTGAGGTCAGCATGAATCCACCAGCTTCCAAGTAACTCCCTTAAAAGAACATAGGATTGCCCAATTTTGCAGGGTAAACAGCTACTTCAGGAGGAGAGGGAGAGGAGAGCCCTTTCGGGCCAGCAGCGGCCAGACCCTGCGACAACCCCACGGCGCGAAGGCTGACCCAGCCCGGTCCTAGGGATGGAGAAGAGAGAGAGGAGGAAAGTTTCTTCATTTTATTTTGAAAAAAAGAAGAAGAAAAAAAGGAAAAAAAAAAAAAGAAAAAGTTTATTGCAAAACTCAGTGTTTTAGAGTATTTCCAGAGTCCACTAGGTACGTTACAAAGAAATCAGTAAATCCTGCTTTGAACGCATTAAAGCCTGCTTCTGGGTCTTCTGCGCCCGCACACACACATACTCACTCGCTCCCCTGCTCGTGCCGCTACACAGACAGGAACAGAAACGTACTGTGAGGTCAGTGACAAACATATTATTTGATCTGTATTGGAAACTGTTGGAAAAAAAAATTAAATTACAGTAGAACCTCGCAAATCTGCAGAACAGGGAGCTTCCACACACACGCAACACCTGGAGGCCGTATTCCACTTCCAAGCAGAGTTGTAATAGCAAAGTGCTGTAGTGAGGTCTCGTATCACAAAGACTTCAAGAATCTTACAACTGTAGTCTACAGAACGTTTACCAAAATGCTTGAAGTATCATAAATTAACAATAAATAAAAAGTACATCTTAATGCAACATCAGTATTTGTTCATTTTCTCACTGATTCACAAAACTCTAGTTCTCTGTAAGGGGTCTTCCAGTCCTGGGTGCAACGCAGCGAGGTTCTGCTGGCTGTGATAAAGTGCTGAGGCAGAGGAAGGACGCGAGACCGCAGGTCTCAGGCAGTGAGGATGAATTGCTCTAGCCACTTGGTTGCAAGAGTGCCTGTTTCTTTCTCTTTTTTTTTGGACATCTAAGACAGAACAAATCAAGCACCTTCCCAAAAAGACTTTTTTTTTTTTTTTTTAAAAACAGATTGTCCCACATTTCTATGGCTGGTAAAATACAGACAGGTCAGCATAGCAGTTAATGGATGATGCCACTTCCACTTAAAACACACAGAAATGTTGGTTTGTTTTTTTCCAAACCAAAACAGACTTGTTTTATTTGTCCCCCTGAGTTGCCTAGAGGCGTTAAGATGCATATAGGTGGGGTAAGCAAGCTTGTGTCACCGTGAGTCAGAATCTCTCCCATTAAGACTAAATGAACAGCTATTACGTTGTCTTTTAGCCTTCCCCTCATGCCTTCAATGTGCACAGGCTCCAGTTCATTTCTCACTGAAGTCAGCAGAAAAAAAAAAAAAAAGAAAAAAACCACAAAAACTTCTTGCTGACTTGGGGGGAGCCAGGGAAGGGAGTGAGGCTCAGACCAGCTGCCCCGTGCCCCCACGGCCAGGAGCAGCCAGCGAGGGGCTGGGCACTGGGGGGGTTTCCACATTCGTTCGGTGATGCGGGAAGGATCTCCTTGTGCACCTGTAAGCGAAGGGTTCGGGTACATGGAGTGGGCCAATTCCTCCCTGCGGGATGGGCTGGTTCCGGCAGCAGAGCTAGGTCCATTGACACCAGCTGAGGCCTTACGGCAAGAGATGCTGGATCTGTACTTGGGTGGGTTTTTTTTTTTTTTTCCTCCTTTTTAAATAACAACTGGGTTACCTAAGACCTACCTATTAAAAACAGCTACACTATGCTGTAAGTGTAAGTTTCCCAACAGCTTCACAAGCTAGCAATACAAGCTAGGTATTGAAGAGATTGATGTAAAGACAGCTTTCTGTTACGCAAAAGATGATTTTTCCTCTCCAGTTATTTAAGCTAACCTCCTTTAACAATCTTAGAATAAATTAATAAATACTAGTTAAATTAGAAACAGTACATCAGATCTGACTATCAATAGAAAACAGTTCTAAGGATACCAGTCAGGAGAAGAAAAATGATCTTATGAAATATGTGCAGTAATAACTGGCCATGAAGACATACAGAGCCTCCAATTTCCCAGCATTTGTGACGTTCAAGTTAATTAGAAACCATTGGTAACCTTCTTAAGTCGGCTCTCTAGCCTAGCTTCCTCAAATCTAAAACATGAGTCCATACTCTTCCAGAAGAAGATTCTGTTGGCTCCTGAAGAAATGCTCATCTCCAGTTCATATCATCGGTTTCTCGTCTGCGTGGAATCTGCGGTAGGGGATGGGTGAGGACAGTCAGAGGCTGAGCCGCTTCTGCTGTTGCTGTTCTCAGTTCTTCTGGGATCAGTCGAGCCTTTACTTATGTTTTTTATTAGGAAAGCAGGAGTGTGCATCACATCTTCATGCTAGATACAAGTTATTCTTACGTGGCTATCCGTATTTTCTATGGAGCTTTCCATTGTTGGTTAAAAAAGTTCTTTCTAACAATAAAAAATGTTGTTGGTAGCAACTGTTCACATTTAAAATTTCACATTCCCTTTAGAATGTAGTTTTAAAACGTGGAGCAGAGCTGACATTTTCCCGTCTTATGCCAAGTATGTTAGATGGAGAAAGAGCAGGGTTTTTCATGCTATGCCATCACAGCCTTTTTCCTGAATTTTCTGCTTTTCTATATCCATTTCAATAAAGTCATCTGGTAAGTCTGGTATGACCACCGCCATGCCCTCCTCTGTGCTCTGCCGCTGGCAGCGGCACAGCCCAGCCTTGCACGGTCTCACCAGAGACAGAAACACAGCACCCAGGACCATGCCAGCAGCACAAGAGTAAAAGGCTGAGCTGTAGTTCTGTGTCGTATCCACTAAGACACCTACGGAAAACACATTTACAGCAGTTAACCACAACCAACTCACCCTCGCCCATCCATCCCTCCTATAGGATTTTTCATCTGGGTACCACTGCATCATTTTATTTGCAATCAGAAGATACTCAATGACAAACAGATGCTACCTTAAAAAAAATATGTGAGAACATTGTGTTCAGGGGTACGTAGTGTCATCTTTGGGCAAGTCAGAAGCCTCTGGGCACTGCAGGGATGCTAAGCCCAAGGTGCATCAGGCATCTATTTATTATGATAGAGACTTCACCTTTCTGCAGTGTACGGCAGAAACACATGCACAGTGGAAGGGATTCATTTCTGCCGTTCGCTAGAGCCTGAAGTGATGCCAGGTTTAGGTTTCTAACAGGATCAGGGTAGCACTGCAGTATTTTCCTTCACTCCGAGGTTCCTGAGTGGAGGCTGCCTCATCTGTGGGACTCTGCAGAGCTGCATTGCAGTAGTCTTCTGGCTCCGAGAGTCTCCTAATACTAGTTGCAGGGCTTTTAGGATAGTACTATGATTAGCGCTGCCAGAACACTTTCTAGACAGAGATCAGCACCAACAGCTGTCAAACATAGCAAAAAAAAAAAAAAGATGAAAGTTTTAGAGTTACCTGCAAGGGGTGGTCCAGCCAACCCAGCTAAGCTTTGAATGAAGACGTAGACTCCAGCCGCAGAAGACATTTTTGCGATGCCAACCACGTCATCTTCTGCCAGGAGGGGAATATGCGTGCCCGCTACTGTTCCGAGCATGAATCCAAAAAATATGCTACATGTCATCAAGCCCCAGAATTCAGAGGCAAAAGGGAAGGCAAACAATGCTACAGACAGCAGAACAACGCAGATGAGTTCGATGTAGATCTTGCGGATAGGCTTTTTGTTGAGAACCCAGCCAGCCGAAATTCTTCCAAAGACCTCTGCGATTGCCATGGCTGACAGTATGTATGCAGAGTGGTCTTTGCTGAGGCCAAGGCTGAGACTCAGGGGAATGATGTAGAGAGAGGGAGCAAAGAAGCCCAGGGTAGCAAACAGGCCAAAGAATGCATAACAGATAAAGCTATAGTCTCTCATCACAGAAAAGTCCAGTAGTTTGGTTTTTTGTTCTGGAGGGGTGCTGTTATTTTCAACAAGTATCTGTGCGTGTTCCTTTGGTTCTTCACTTTTTGGCTCTGCTTTGGTGTTTCCAGGCACATTGCTGGGTGAGGTAGTTATTTCTACTCCTGAGTCTATGGACTCTATTGAGGTGCGTGTTTGCTCATTTTCAAGCATATACTTTGTCTCTGTGGGCTCTTCTGGAGGCTGCGCTTTCACTTCTTCCTGCTCTTTGATGATAATGGGTCGCAGCAGTGATCCACAGATGACGATGCTTAGCTGTAGGACCCCGACAGCAAAGAGGCTGTATCTCCAGCCAACCTGCTCCTTCAGAGCAGTAATTGCTGAGGGAAGAGGGCAGAAGAAGAAGAAAGTATAACTAGAAAAGCCTGCAGTTCCACCAAGGAGCTATTTGAATTTACAGCTAGCGAAGTAACTGGACCTGCATCACTGGAGGACCCCCAGCACCTCAGCTCTCGCAGAGGCTGAGCAGGGGTCTCTCCTGCCCAGGGGTCTGGCACCCACGTTCCTCCCATCAGCTGCAGCAGACAAGAGCTAGAAGTTGCATTTAACGACTGGCTAGCAGGAGCTATCCTCTAGGTAGCCACTTCTGAGATCCCAGTGAGTTTGGGATGCGCGAGGATGAAGGTGGTGTTATTTTTAGAGAATGGGAGCAAACTCACTCAAGTTTCCTCTCTCAGCTGACCCCACCCTGAAACCAGCTACTAGAGGAAGTCTCTTTGCTCTACTCAAAGGTGCATGTCACTGCTTAATTACAAGCCTTCATTTGCAATCCAAGCAGCTTTGCCACGGGTATTTGCTGAAAGCAAGCGTGCCCGGCAGAAGACCACCTGAACCTCCGAGGACAGGCGGTGACAGGGACGTGGTGCCTGGGGACAGCTCCCCAAAAGGCTGGAGCAGTTCGCCAGCCCGTGCTAAGCACAAGCCCACTAACCTTTAGGAACAGTTATGTATACTGCGTATGTTTTAAATAGCTGAAGTTTCTCGGGTCTTATTTTTAGCCTGCTAGATCTATATAGGGAATCTGGCGGGCTGCGTATCAGTGAGGCACATCCTGCTCTGGCAGATCACGCTTGGGGGGGCTCAGGCATCATTAGACCAGTCTCTAGGGTTACTTGTAACCCTGCCTGCAGGGCACGAGTGGCAGGGGCATGTGGGCAACCACCTGCGGGCTTTAGCAGCTCATGGGAAGGTCCACGACCACCAGCTTGGTATCGATGGCCTTTGGCTCTCCCATTCGCTTGGGAAAAGCATGGGCGCAGCGTTGTGCTTTGGCATGCACGTATGAACTCACGGCGTTTGGGCACTGTACCTGGTGCAAAGGAGAAGACAGCAAAACATTCCCCTGTAGATGCCACTGCTGTGACCAGCGAGCGTCTTTTGTCAAAATACTGTGATAAAATGGTGACAGTCGGGAGGAAAGAGAGGCAGTATCCAAGGCCTGTGAATAAATGCCAAAAATTGCCATAACAAGTAAGGGAAGGGGAAACACCGATGCAAGAACACGTTAAGTCAGCTTTCCCAGTGGCGAGATTACAGTATCATTTCGGCCAACTCAGTCACCCTGGAAGAAAATCATTGGGGAAACCAGAATGTTATTTTTTTTAAATTGGACAGGGGAAAAGCAAAAAAAAAAACCAAAACAAAACAAGAGACCCAACCTCCCAAACCTGCTAGGTAATGCCTTCTGTTCCCAAATAGCCAGCAGGGTCCCCTTTGAGGACCTCATCTGCTTAAAGAGTGTAAGCCTGTAGCAATTGCTCCCCTAAGCGAGGCAAGCTCCTGGCCACGGACATGAGCAAGACACCCAAGCCAAATCGGAGAGGGCAAGAGTATCAGGAAAAAAGGGAAAAAAATATAGGAGAGAGAAGGAGAGGTTAGAGGGTTTGACCCCGTGAACAGCTTTCGTCTCCCCAGCGATCCCAGTCAAGCAGAAGCCATCAGTACAGCTGCACTAGCGCAGGGGGCTGCAGGACCAAGTCCCAGGGTGGTCCCCAGGCTGAGACAGGGCAGAAAGCCAAGCCTTGAGCCCAGCTCATCACCTCTACCCGGGGGGCGAGATCAGCTCAGAAGGGACAGCAGCATTTCTCAAGCACTCCCCATGTTGTGGGGAGTAAAACCCCCACGGCCAGTGCCACGCTTGCGGGAAGCTGCGGGAGCAGCCTTTGGCAGGTACGGGAATAGGACGACTCACCAGAGATGACGCCGATGGTGACATACATGTCTACAACAGTGCGGGCAAAGGAGGCGATGACCATGCCGGTGCTGATCAGCACCCCTCCGGCCATCACCACAAAGCGGTGACTGAAGCGATTGCTGAGGACCGTTGACAGAGGAGCTGGATGGGTGGGAGAAGAAGAGAGCTATGGTCAACACCCAAGTCAGCAACTTCAGCAGCTACCATCTCCTTCAGAGGCTCTTCTCATCCCCCTGCCCAGGTGCCCGTGACATGCCACCTCCCCTGCCAGCTGGCCTCACACAGCAGAGCATCACCTTGGAGCACTGCACAACTCGCAGCATTTAGTCTCTTCTGATGATTATTTTTTAGCACATCCTAAGATGGGTACATGGCAGCCTGGGACAAACTTGCAGCAACATCCACAGACACCAGTGGATTTCAGTGAGGCTCAAGTTATTTCTAATCCTTTTCACTACAGAGTTAAGGGTTTTGCTAAAAAAAGAAGAAAAACAAACCAAACAACTCCTGGTTTTGCCCCTTGCTGATGAGAGCCGAATGGCGAGGCCAGGCTCAGTGACACGGACTACGTCCCTGTACCACACAGAAGGACATGAGTTGGGGCTCAAAGGGACTGCCAGGCTGAGACAGGCATTTCTTGGTATTTCAGGAGCACGCAGCCTCTGGCCTTTATGGCTGTTATTTATAATGGAGCCATTAGAGGCACAAAAGTCACAGGTACCAGGTCCTTGTATGCTGAGTCAGCAGTACAACCGCCCCTTGCACTCAGGCCGAACCCCTGCTGCTCTTACCTGTGAAGGTCTGTACAAACACACATATGGATATTATCCAGGATATCCTGCTGTTGGTTTCATCAAAGCTTTCCATCAAGTCATTAAAGAAGACACCAAAAGATTTTATAATGCCGTATGTTAGAGCTTCCACAAAGAAGAAAGCAAAAGCAATTGTCCAACCCCATCCTCCGTCAGGCACTTTAGTATAAACATTTGGAGCCATGCACGGCATTTTTACAGCTTTGACAGTCATTTTTGATCTGGAAAAGAGGGAAGAGAGACATCAGTTTAAGATCAGTTTTGCTGAAAGAGGCAGAGCCTAGCAGCTCTAATATCCGTCAGGCATCGCGAGCCGGTCCCTGTGCTGCCAAGGGATGAAATGCAGGAGCTCAGCCGAAGTCTCTGCCTTTGTCACCCCACGGGGCTCATTTCTGCTGGTGCCCTTTGAGCCCAGGGCTAGAAACTCTCCGCTCAGCATCCGGGCAAGCTGTTCCCATCAGCAAAACCCAGCATCCAGAAGCTGTCACCTGTATTTCAATGTGGCGGGGTGGATAGATGCAGTTCCTTAAAGATCCACGCCGGGACCCAGTGTGGGCTGGTAGAGCTGCAGGAACTCCCCAGGAGCACCTGTCCTCCCCGCTGCACCCTCTCCTCTGGCCCCGGGGTGGACAGTAACTCCTCGGGAGCCCGGCGCATTCTGCCTCCCATTGTATTCCAGGGATTCCACACCCAGCAACGCTGGGTGGGGACGCACCCACTGTCACCAAGCGCCCTGTGCTGTCCCCTGCAGCCCTCGGGGTCACTGCCACCCCCCGCCAGGGCAGGAGGAGGCTGAAGCCCTGCGGGCTGTCAGGGGGTCACCTGTAAGGCACGGGGGTCTCTTCAGCCCCGCTCCGTGTCACCCGGGGGCCGTGGATGCGCAGGGACAGGTTTTTGTCCTCTCCAAACC